AATGCCTTTGAACACAACAAAACAGTTCAACATTTAAAAACTATGTTTATACATGTTCGTATAAGTGTGAACACATATGTTCATATACAAATGGATAAATATATAGGTAAATCCATCTCAACATATGCAACTCTGCCGCACACAGACACACACCACGCTTGAAATTCGCATCGGTGAAACGGTTGTGACCGGCGCTGCCCATGCACTGGAAACAACAATGCCCTAGATTTGATATGTTTCAAGTTGCCTTTCATTATAGTATGCCCTTGGTAAACGTGGTTCATGAGTTAGTGCCCATTGCCACTCATCCCATGACATCTGGGCAGCCTGGATGACTGATGCCCTCCTAGTCTGCATGACTGCATGGGATGATAGATACAGTTTCAATTAAGTTAAAACAAACATCAATAACATGAAGTATGAAGTGACTAGCTCAGGAACTCATGACATGGCATGTCATGATCCATACATTAGCCACACAGCAAAACCACAACCGTGGCATTAAGAATATTCCTGATTACTGTTCCTTTATTAATTTCATCAGTCATCCTCATGGTTGCCCAGACTTGTCTCGAGAGAGCGGGCTAGCGAGCTCATGATCTGCAGCGCCGTGTCCATCCGGTCGACTTGCGCCTCCACTTCAGCTCGCGCCCGCTTGTTCTCTTGCGAGCGCTGATACTTGGCTCCACCGCGCCTCGCAATAGTGTTCAATTAATAGATATTCATGGTATCCATGGACAACCTTCTTGACCAATTGATTATTTTCTAAACAACACCGACAATTCTGCTAAGGTTATAGGACAAGGTGCTGCTCCACCGGCTGCATCTCCCAGCTCTGGTGGGCTGTGATCTGCATGTCGCCATTCTCCCATGTTTGCGTCCAGGTCTTCTGCTCGTTCCTGCAGGGAAGAGAATTGGACTTTAATAAGGAAGGGTTCAGCATAGGGGCATAACAACCTTAACAAGCATTAATTGTGTCGCCAGGAAACGCCAGCCATTGATCCGAATGATCATTCCACTTCTTGTCGGACCACGTGGCATTGTCATCATGCCACTTCTGGATCACAGCGTTCCTGGAGGCTGTGGATATGCGATCGATGAGGTTATATGAGTCGAAAGGGGGGATACATGAGGTTATAGATCAGTGAGCCAGTTCAAAGCACATCCCCAAAAACAAAATCGAACACATGTGATTCTTGAGAATATACAGAAAAATAATTGCAGTTAAGACTCTTCTCCCAAGGCGGCGGATCCTCCCTCCTTGCAAGCGTCCAGTCATTGTCCCATTGCGAGCCACGCCATGAGCTGCTGGAGCTGGAGCTGCTGGCTTTGCTGGCTGCAGCTGCGTGATTCTTCCATTCGGCCTTTGGGCCACCTCCCCATGCTTTCTTGTCGTCTGGCTTCCGGGCCGCCGGGGCCGGGGCCCAATTCTTGTCATCCTTCTTCTTGGGCTTCTTCGGCTCGATCGGCATCGGCTTGGGGGCTGGCGTCTTTTTCCCCTTCGCAGCCTCTGCTTCAGGCAGGTTGCCAGCTGCTTTGACAGCCTTGCCGTAGTGCTGCCGCTCGGGCCGCCAGTACCTGTCATCTCCTGCACGTGGTACTGGCGGCCCTCCATCATCTGCAGGCGGCGGCGCTGGCGGAAATTCCGCTGCCTCCTTTGGAGGATGCACTGCCGGTGGCGGTGGTGGCAGCGGCAGACCCGATGGTGCAGCTGCAGCCGAAGCCGATGGCTGCTTGCCTTCTGCGGCTTCAGCCGGCGTGCCTTCAGCCGGCTTGCCTTCTGCAGCATCAGGCCCAGGCTTCGGCTCAAGGACCATCTTGATGGCGTCGCCCGGCGTGTAGCCTGTATACGGGGCAGGGCACATGCTCGCCCTGTAGACATGTGTGCGGGGCAGGGCACATGCTCGCCCTGTAATGTGTGGCAGGGCAAACTATCCCTTTTTCTATCTATTCACATTTATTTCTCTATCCATGTATATCGCATAATATGTTGCTTTATTTACCTCCTGCTTATCGATTCAACCTTTCGCTGCCCTCTCACCTGCTTCACCTTCTGCAAGCTCGCCCTCCTTGTCGGCCTCCTGCTTGTCGGCCGCTTCGGCCACTGGCTGCAGCGGAAGGCCTGCCAGTGTGTTGGCCACCGACCCCTTGATCGTCACTTCCGTCACCATGGCCACCGAAGCGCTTGAAGCGCTTGAACGCACTAATATTGTGCTTTGGACTGTGAAAATGCGTTTAGACTCTGTGTAGTTGGCATGGATACATGTTTATCGTGATACAGAGCAGGTTTGGTCGTCATTCAATGGGTCTGAATTGAATTATGTTGAAGAAACAAATTTGCGTGAGGGTGGGCATCCTTCGTGTTGAAAATTATTAACATGTGTTGAGGGTGGGCGGCCCTCGATTGCATAGTCCATATAAATGCTACAAAGATTGTGGATACATGACGGTTATGACAGTCTTTATAGGCGGGCTAAATACCAATAGTTGTGACAGTATAAAGAAACTCTTGTATCTATGCTGGGCTATATATAGATCCATACAATAAATGGGCATGTGGGGCATGATGTGCATGCATCCGACTTGCAGCACGAAAATCCGTCTGAAGCCAGAAGAAGCCAGCACAGGTGAGCAAGCGTTTATTTCACCCAGATCCATTTTATGCAACCTCGCGCTTAGATTCAACTACATAGTAAATATATCACCAAAGACCTGAGATACCCAGCAGATCCCAGCAGCGTGTCCTGGTGCGTCGACCCCGTGAAGTTTCGTAGAGAAGCAGCCTGCAAAGCGAAGCGTATACTATGTTGAGGCCACGATTCAAATTGATGTTTCATGAACTATACCGCGAGCACAGCCCGCAGGTATATGGACTGCGAGCCAAGCCCTGCATGTCCAATTTCTACCAGCTTATGTAAATGGCCAAAGTGCAATGTGGAAAGAACAGACTGTTCAGTAAGTATAGGGCCTATCACGCGCCTCCCGACATGCACTTCTCAGAATGTGAGGCTTGTGTGCAACCGGGTGCAAAAGAACAAAATATATATATAGTGTCATGAATGGCAAACCAATGATAGATAGTAAATGCCTATAGGTGGCCATCATGCAGTCATGTTACGATACAGATCTGAAGCTGCACTTATAACTTCCTGATGCGCCTCACGGAGGATAGACGCCAGCACGCCTGCAAGTATGGACACATGGAACAGTGTATAATGGCAACTGCCACTCACAGAAAGTTGAAACATGTATATGCAAAACAACATTCGAGATATGACAGCCAAAGACGACAATACACCTTTGAGTTGCAAGCATCCAGCATTGGCCCACCGCCATTTCACGACTTGAACATGTTTGCTTGGCCTCGAAGATATAGACATGGTTGAAGCACTCCCTGGATCAGGTTGGCCCATGCATGTTAAACAACACAGTCCCAAAAAGAACGCAGGTTCACAACCACTGTTTTCAAGCATTATCAAAACTGATTCTATGCATATTTCCTTTGGCAGTCGGTCTCATCGGCTCTTGGCTTGACAACGGTTTATCAACCTATACCAAGTCTAGAATTAAATGTTTCTGGGGCGCAAGCCGACTGTGCGGGCTCTATGCTTCCGTCCCAGAGCAGGCAAACATGTGGGTCTCTCTATCTCTCTCTAGTTGTATATATATACCAGACTTCATGCAAGGAAACATTCAAACAAAGAAACAAACAGGAAAGAAACTACTTTTTTTGAACCCTCCAGCTAAAGACCCAACTCGCTACATTCAAAAAGCATTTACTCACCATCATCGGATTCATCCCCCCGTTGTGTTCGTGTGATCTGGCTGTGCAAATCGAGATAATCCTGCAGGTTGCCTTTGCTGTCGAAGCTCTTGCAGAGGCCAAACGCGATCGCAACGCCAGTCTTCATCTTGCCGGTGAAGCGATTCTTGATCTTCAACTTCTTGGTTTTCCCCTTGAGCTCATCAGTAAACAGCAAATCCTGCGTGTCCAGACATCTCGCACATAATGGGGGATACGCTTGCATGCCACATGACTCAGATATATGTCTGAAACCAGCTAGCAACAGCAAACAATAACTATATGGTCCTGTGGCTTCAATGCAGCATCAGTCTTGGTAGCAATGATCTGAAGCTTGCGTTGCTTGGACTTCTGCAGCTCCTCACACACAACCGGGCACATGTGATGCTGCACGTGCCACACTTTCAAAGTGTCAGTCGACCACTTGAACTTACCCAAAAATCTGCCCGACACAGCCGAGTAGAGCTGGAAGAGCATCAGCTTCTTCTCCCAGGCAGTGTCGACATGGAGATTAACGACCTTGCTGAAACAGAAGCGTGCTCAACACAACACTATACGGGGGCTGAAAGCATCAAACATTTTTGCAACCTCCCAAACAAAAGGGGAGCTATAGTATGTGCATGCAAGTGGCAATCCTTCCCGCAGACATAACTTTCACAATCATGTCCATTGACCCACGGCGTTCGAAAACGAACCTGCTTTTGTCAGCCGTATTCTCTTTCACCTTGAATGGATAGCATGCTTCGTTCTGGGTGATGTAAATGACAGCGAAATCGCTGTTTTGGCGGCAAGGGTCTCCACTGTGGATGGCTATCTATCGGAAATGGTCCATCTGCATGGGCCGTTCCCGCTGGCACGATCATGTACTCGTAGCTGAGGTCAGCCATGGCAAGAAAACTGTGCAGGAAGGCGCAGTGGTATATATACTTAAGAAGAAACACTGCGAGCAAGGCCACGCAGTGTCAAGATGCGCGAGCTAAGCCCTGCGCATCTGCGTAAAGGCAACTACAATATAGGTGCAAAGATATGACAATCAATGCAAGATCTGTTTTTTCCTGACGGTGCGTTTCAACGGTATATCTCGCATCCAAAACTCAGCTGATATAGGGGATTGAAAAAGCAGCTGACGATGCGCTAAACATAAAAATGTGCCAAATGAAAAGACACGTCAAATCACTTCATTTCAGGAAAGAATTCATCAGGCCGAGGCCTTCTTCTTTTTTGCAGGCGGGGGTGCAGGATCGGTGAAGGACAGAGGCGCAAAGCATTTCTCTGTCTTCTCCTTCAAAAGCACTAGCTCTTCACCGCTTTCAATGTCACGAGTGCTCTTGGCACACGGTATGCCTTTGATGTACTGGAGCGACATGTTGGAATCATCTGACTCAGTGGTAGTGGCCAACAGCCAGAAAGGAATGCTGCACCCTGCAGGTGACAGCACGTAGAGACGACACTTCTTCCTGGGCTGCAAGAATCAAGACTTGTATACATATGCGTGACTATACCCATCCAAACAAAAAAGTACAGCATTGATAAAACAGATTTGAGTCACCCCTGAACCTTCTCGTCGCGCATTAAGTACGAACCACTGAGTGGAGTTTTGCCGTCAGTGGTCATGAGAAGTTCGATCCGATTGGTCAAGGCTGGCAAAACAATCTTGCCCTTGCCGAAGTCTTTGGTCACTATGACGCCCTTGGGCTTGGCCCACAGTGACAAGTCATCAGACTTTGGGGTCATTTTGTAACCCTCTTCCCACAAACGGATTTGCGCTCGAGCCTTGACATCCGTAGCTGCAAGCACGGAATGCCACAGATCCGGATCTTTCACAGGAACACGAGGCTTGGGCTCACTCTGCTTTTTCCAATCTGAGGAGTTCAACACCTCATCGGCCTGGAGGACGAACTCACCTTGATCACCCTGCATCTTCAATTCAAGGGGGGTCATGGCGAGGATTCTCCCACCCTCACCGTCTGATCTCACCAGCAAGTCACCAATGGCAAACTTCTCCATGAGCCTCGCTGCAGTCTTTGCCTTGCCAGCATCGTCGTACTCACGGATCCTGCGTCGTGGCCAAGCTATATAGATATATACCCCATGCAGAACCCTTCCATATATTTGGGAGGTATCTGTTTAGGCTGTCGAAACCCCTCCTTGCAGCAGTGGCTGCAGTTGATGGAGCGGCTTTGGCACTTGCTGGTGCTACAGGGATGGGCCAAGGGTTTGGAACCTTCGTTTCTGACGAGGAATTCCAATCATCATGACACAAGTAAGCTGCATGCTCAACGGACTCCACAGGCATGGTCAACTGTGCATCGGGATCCTTGGGTTTCTTTTGGAGCACGAACATCACACACCGCACCTCAAAGGCGCCAAGGCCTGCAATTTTCTGGAATTCCGTCAGCTTGAACTTCGGCATCTCATTCTTCAATGTCAACAAGTTTTTTTCAAACACAATGATCTTGGTGAGCATCTGGGCGTTGGAGAGGCTACGCTTGATGTCTCCCACGGAAACCACTCGGTCATTGCAGGTCATCATAGTTTTCAGCAACGCCTGGCGCCAAAGAACCAAATCCTCATTCTTGTGCTTGGCGTCCAGTGACAATGCATCCCAGACACTTGCCCCCAATTGGTTTTTCACTGAGCCGAACGCGGCCACGAAGGACTCAGTGTTCTTCATCATTGAGGCTTCTCCAAACCTGCTCATGAACTTGTAGACATAAGGCAGCACGTCCGGGTTGGGTGGATGCGACCTTAAGATGCTTGGGGCGATGTCAGCATATGGGGGAAGCTCTCCCTTTGCCCCCACGTGTTGCCTCAGCCGGTGCATGAGCTGAAACTCCGTCTCGACCTGGGACACTTGTTGCACACTGTTGCAGGCTGCTTGGCAGAGACCCACAAACTGTGGGAATGCTTGGACCACTGCGTGGTCAATGACCTGCCACATTACCCCACTTGAAGCGCACTCTGCGTACGCCGCATCATCAACGCGCAAGGCGTCGATGGATAGCGGCTTGCCATTGTGCTGGCACGCATAGCGCCACAGGCGAAGAGCCTGATTGGAATGCGAGCCGCTGATGGAGGCGTATTTCAAGGTGTCCTTGATGGGTGCGAGCCTCACGGAGCCGGCCCAAAACTGAGAAACCATCTCCAACGCAGTTTTTTAACTCTACATAAATAAACCTGACCATCCACAACGTTGACACATATCTATATATGTGCCAGCAATGCAATCTAGAAGCTGGCCGTTGCTCTTGGCAACCATTTCCTCGTTGAAATCCTTCACAGTGTTATTTCCAGGCTCCACTTCCACGGCCATATAGCGCCCAGCGGAGCTCACGAAGCCAGACTCTTGGAACTTGTCCACCAAAGAATGGACATGTTGCTGGTCCACGCCGATTCCATCTCTGTTCTGAGGATGGCAGCCGACGAAAGCTGGGGATATCTGAATGGTATACATCAAACCACTCTGCCTTAGCAACTGGTAAGTGTTTTCCATTCCAGCCAGCAATGCCTCATTCTCCGCTCTGCTCATCTGCTCAGCGAGCTTTCCACGTAAGACGGAATCCATGGCACAAGGTTTCTGGATGTTGGTGTTGAATATTTTATAAAACACGACATCACGCATGTATGCATGGAATGTTGCTTGTTCCTTTATACTTTATATGTCAAAAAATTGTGCATTTATGCGTAAGCATGATCATGTCCATGCATTCGAGCATGATGTCTCACATGTTCCTTTGCTCAGCGAGCTGTGCCCCGCGTGAGCCATGCAGCGAGCCAGAGCCATGAACAATCTTTTCGAATCAAAAACCAACTGAAGACAGAACACGATGAAATCTGTCAAGCTTTGCAGGCACCTGAAAATGATGTCCGCAGTCGGCCTGAGCGCAAGGACACACCATTCAAACCAAACCAAGACATTGTGCGCAACGAGGTCTCTGCACATCCTGGTTGGATGCACCTGAGGAAACAAGTGAAGCGCAAATTGCCAACAGAATATCTATGATCTATTTTTGGTCTCACAAAATCAGGGAACCCTTTCGAGGCCCACGCAATGGCAAATCTCCAGGAAATCATGTATCTCATCAAAAAGAGACACACAAGTGTATGTTGAGCCAGAAGATGCGCGGCGAACCGTCGCCAAAATAAAAAATCACGAACAAAGAAGCTGTTCCATCAAGATTTCGAAAGATGCACCGGACAAAAAACAACAACTCTCAACTTGCATCAGCGATTCCAGGACAAACATGTTCTATGTCGCAGAAAAAATACAGCCTGCAACTTATCAGTAAACCATTTCTCCCGAGCATCCAAGTCAGCTGAATGCAAAATACTCTTTCCAAAAACAACATGAGATCGCACACGGCTGCGAACATGTTGTTTTTTCAGCTATACAATGTTGAAAAAAAAACATGATATCCAAACCAGCTAAGTGCACTAAGTATGCGTTATAAGTCAGTTAGTGCAGTTAGCAGTAACTTAGTTAGTCCATTTACCATAAGTGGTGTAAGTACATATGCTACTTAACTATAACTTGTGTAAGTACATATGCTACTTAACTATAACTGCCATAAGTGGCGACTTAAATTTTACCTAACTGGAATAAAATTTGTTGTACTTACTAATCACTTATAGTTTCCGGTAAGTACTTATATAACTGAAATAAAGTTACCCAAGCACTTACGAAAGATATAACAGTTACTAACTATACTTAGGCCAAATATGAGTAGGTTACTAAGTACATACCATGTGTAATAACCACGATAAACACTTACTAACCAGGCTGATCCTCCAAGTACCTCCTCCCCGGGATATCGACACCGTCGCTCGCGGGATCAACTCCGGCGGGTCTCGCTGGTTGCAGCTGGCATCCGCCCTGCCAGGGCTGTACCTCGTCGCTTTTCCCAGGAGATTGTCGTTGCGAGTTTCATGGCCCTTTGCCCGGAGATCAACTGGGACGGTTTCAAATGGCCCATGATCGAGGACCTTCTGGTTGATGATGAGAACCGCCCTGACTGGATGGACACGCATTCGGCCCGCGCCTTGTAGGTCCCTTGGAGCGTACTGCCATTGCTATGAGCGGCCTTCAGCAGTCCGGTGCGGCTGCTGCAGCCAAGGCCTTGCCTCCTATGATCCCCTTCGGTGTAGGGGAAGACCGACATTTTGAATTGGCGCTTGAGCTTCAACAGCGGCCCACTCCGTTTGAATCCATGGCTGTGGTCGACGACGACCTGATTTTTGCAGCGGCGCTGGCTTCAGGAGTTGAGCCGCAGGACGTGGCCCATCACTTGCCACCTACAAACCTATCAGCCACCGGGTATCAGATCCGCTATGCAGGGACGCCACATTGCCTTGATTGGGCTCATCATGTTGCTTATCGGATGGCCTGATACTACTTTTGTGGCTAGCCTGATCTATGGGTTCTCAGCTGTGGGCTTTTCTCCTCATGTGCCCATCTACAAGGCTCAGCCTGCCCACTATGTCACTGACGACTCCATTTACCAGGATGCATTGCAAGAAGCTGATCGCATCATACAGAGTCTCCGCCCTGGTGAACATGATGATGCCATCGTTCAGGCCGGTGAAGAGGACCAAGCCAAGGGCTTCTGTGGGCCCCCTTTGACCTGGGCCCAACTCTGCCATGAGCTCCCTGTTATTGATGACGCTGCGGCGGATGCGAACAAGCTGGACCTCTGCACCAGCATTCAGCCAGGACTTCATGTCCAGCTCCTGTGACAGGCTGCCTCTTCTTCGTCCCATCAATCCGAACTGCTGCAAGCTGGTATTTGGTCCGGTGGCGAAGACTTGCCTAATGCTTACCGCCATGTTCCCATGAAGCCGGAGCACAGCAACATGGCCATTGTGGCTTACTATGACCACCATGTTGACGCCCCTCGCTTTCGACAATACTATGGTTCTTTGTTTGGCTTACCCAATGCGGTATGTTCCTTCAACCGGTTCCCTCGCTTCTTTCAAGCTGCCTGCCGCCGCCTGGCCTATTGCATGACCAGTATGTACTTCGATGACTTGACCATTCAGGATTTCGGCATCATGGGCGGTACGGGCCAGGCTTTTGTCAACGAGCTCGCCCGATGCCTTGGTTCTCCATTTCAAGAGGAGAAACATCAATCCCTAGCAGCTCAATCCGACTTTTTGGGTCTGATCCATGACGTGACAGAATGTCACCGGGGCGCCCCGGTGAAGTTTTGGGCCCGCGATCGTTTGGTCACGAAGGTCACTGACATCATGGATGAAGCTGCTCAGACTGGTCGATTCCCACCGCGACTGGCGGCGAAACTCTTTGGATGCCTCGGGTTCTTGACCACAGGATGCTTCGGTAAACTCGGCCGGTCCGGCCTGCACAGTATCAAGGAGAGGCAGTATTCCTCACAAGTCTGATGACACCAGAACTTTCTCAGTCCTTTGATCGCATCCGATGCTGCACAAGATCTGCCCCGCGAGGGCTCAGCAGGGGTCTTGTTCATAGACCCCCATGGTCAACGCCGCTGTGTCGTCCATATTAGCCGCCGGAAATCTTTGAGGTGTGGTCCCATCATGAAGCTAAGATCGCACAACTTGAGCTCTTGACGGTTTATATGGGACTTGCTTACAATGCTTCGTCTACCCGAGGGATGCATGGTATATGGTTTGTCGACAATATTGCAGCCCTTATGTCCCTCATCCGAGGACGCAGCAACAATGACGAGTTGGACTCTATGGCTGGAGCTATTCATGGTCTCCTCTTCGCACTCCGTAGCGCTTGTTACTTTGAATGGGTTCAGAGTAAGGACAACTGGTCTGATGGCATCAGCAGACAGGGAGAACATGACCCATGGTTCCAACGACATGGCTTCAGACTCTTTCACACCTACCCCCTGCTCATGCTCCTTCAGCTGCCCTACCACCTCATCGCCCAGGTCTTTCAGTTCGTATAAGTGCTTTGGCGCCTTGGATGGAGTGCTCCCACAGGGAGAGTGTCAGATGTCAGATGACACATGCGACGTGGGTCGCCTTTCAAACCAAAGCACTTAGGTACAGACCGTACAGACCTGAATCGATTCGCAGGAAAAGGTAGCAGCAGCTGATTTCTGTTGATTGAGCTTCATCGAATATATTCAATCATTTGAGGTAGGCAGGGTCGGTGATGAGGAATTATTTGGGAAGCTTCAAGTCAAAGTCTCCCCGATGTTTGAATGCTCAAGCCAAAACAGGGGAGACGCCCCTGAGGAGCAGTGCCACTGCTGGTACCTCAGGTTAAAGTTTTTCTCTCACCCTGCCACACCCTTATCTGCTACCTTCATATCCACCTGGCGCTGGTCTAGCGGGTGGCTGACTCGGCATGGCGCCAGTGAAGTCTGCTCAAATGGTGACAGCCAGTTCACCTTCGGCATTGCTGTCAGCTTGAGGGCCGTTCTATGGTTGTCTTTTTCGTCATCACGGCTACGCTCCACGTTTGCAGCCAGGGCTGACCGCCATGTGTGACTGTGACTGTGCTGTCTGCCGCTGCTGTCCAGTCGTCCGTTCACGGCCGACCGCCGACCAGCCATCATACCTGTTCTGGCTGTACCAGGTATTGGAGATGACTGAATTCTTTCTCTTTGAATCTTTTAACTTTCAAGCTCTGTCTAGAGCGGACATCCGTTGTGGCCGTAGGACCGCCCCTGCGGTATCCTCTCGGTCACATCCAACGGATGGAGCGCTCCCACAGGGAGAGTGTCAGATGTCAGATGACGCATGCAACGTGGGTCACCTTTCAAACCAAAGCACTTAGGTACAGACCGTACAGACCTGAATCGATTCGCAGGAAAAGGTAGCAGCAGCTGATTTCTGTTGGTTGAGCTTCATCGAATAATTCAATACATTCAAAAAACATGTGGCAAGAGTATGGTGCAAGAATGAAGAGGAGGCAACGATTCACCAAGAAAGTCCTGGAGTGGTGGGTGGAAACACAAGGTTGTGAGTTTGTTAGAGTATTCCGTCCTGGCCTTTGCGAGTTTGATGCAGACGTGGAAGTCTACTGTAGGTCGGGGGCTATGACTATGCCACCAGAGTAGCAGCTGAAGGCATGTGCCAATCGCTCGGATATCAGGGGCTATGCAGCAAAGCTGAAGTGAAAGGCTGGGTTGAAGTTGGAGTGCATGTTTGGGCAAAGCTGCCCGGGTCAATAAGTGAAGTTAGGCCGCTGAGGCAGACCGAGCAAAGGTTTATCGGGTGCAAATCAGTGTGTGAATGTGAAGCCCCGATTCTCTATCCATATCATGCATCGTTGATGTTGGTGACGGAAATGAAATCGGGAATCGCCGTTCTACGAGCTGGCAGTTTTGGGCGCAGGTTGTATCAACAAGAAAAGGTCGGGCAACATCGAGAAACAAGAAAAAAGGTAACGCAAGGGAGATACAACCTGTGGGTGGAGAGCGCACGCGTGTGGTGATGCAACCTTCCGGAAATTGATTGGTGAAGCTATGTGGTCAAGCCAACGTTCAACTTGCAACTTGACTCAACTTGACTCTGTAAAAACCAAGGAAGCCGAATCATCCTTCGCTGAAAAGGTTCTCGCACAATTCCACTTGCTAGGCAACGGATATCAAAAGCTGGGGATCCTTTTTGGCAGTAAGCAGCTGACGGTAGCTGTAGCAATCAACTGCTCACTTTGCGTCAACTGTGTTGTGTATTTGCATTCATACGTTCCTTTGGCTGGATGCTGCTTTGTGTGTGTGTGTCCACCTCCGTTCCTAGGAGTTTTGTTGCTTGTCTACATTGCAGGGGGATGCCCCACACCTGAAGAGAGGGCATCTAACAAAGGGGCTCTTCAGGATGTGCTGATATCAGCAAGGACGCTTGCTGACGTACCTGCAACCGAAACTTTTGATCACGCTGTTCCACTCCTCGATTTTGCTTTCATGATCTTTCATGGTGGTTCTGCACGCTATACCCCAAAACAGGTTTCCTTCAACAGCTTTCTGCAGACTGTCGCCGCTGTCATGATTCCGCAGATGTGCACAAACATTCTTTGAAACACCTTTTTGACGCACCTTTTTGAGTCCAGCTGCATGTCGGCTGCGCGCGGACGACGCAACGAACGAGTGGAATGTGCCACTAGGATGGCGGGCCTTGGATGGCCTCATCGACAGCAATGGGAACGCCGGTAAATTGGTTAGCTCTACGAATTGCACGAATGCCTGGGTGGCACTGCATGAAGGCTTTGACGCGATGATGGATCGCCTCACAGATCCTGAGCTTCAAGCAACCCGACCATGCCACGTAAGCAGGATTCGTGGGTTTGGACTGAACCGAGCACCAATTCTTCCAGCATGTCCGAGCGCAAGCTTGGACAAACCGAGCCCACTGATGGCATTCAGCTAAGAAGTCATACGGTTCGGAGGCCGGCGTGATTTGCCAACCAGTCCGCTCTCTGGTTACTCCGCGAATGTTGCTTACCAACTGAAAGCCAATGAACGCCTCATGCCAGGTGAGCCACACCCCCGGGCGGAAGGATCACCTAACTTGTCAAAAAAAGGGTGGTATCAGATGGTGCAGGCCTTGGAATTGGAGCCTCCGAGGCAAATGCCATTTGAGGTGGTCACGAAACTTGAATGTATCAAACTCCGGCATCGAAAGAGGGGTGGTCCCCTGTACATCCGGCTCCTGCTTCTGTGGCCTGAGCGCCACTGCTTGTTGACCTACCCTCACAAAGTGGGCGTACGCGTCCTGTACGCAAACTTGCAAATCCAACAGGTCTTTGCGCGCTTTGGCCAAAGCTTCAACCAGGGATGCTGGCGCCATACTGAGTGCCCACTCTGCTGTGGCATCTGCCATGGCATTGCCTGCAAGCACAAATAAACGCCATGCCCAATATGGCTGGTCACTTTGAGGGCCTCGACCTGACTTTCAAGATTCTCTGCAATATCACGGAGAACTGACCACAAGTCAGCGTCCGAGGTGCTGGGGCTCACGACCAACTCACCTTCAAGCAAGCGGCAGGCTTTGGCGTAAATTTCTTGGTTATCTATTCCTTCCCTTGGCACGGGTGGACGCGAGGAATCTAAACGCAGCCAACAGGGCCCGCGTTTCTGCTCTGGCAACGGTTTGCCTCATCCCCGGCACAAAACCCCACATCATGGTCCCCAACAGTTCGAACACTGGAATCTGTGCTTCTGTACTGCAATGCCTGCGAAACAATTGAATCGATTGAAACAAGGCAAAAAATTCTGGGTCCGTGACTGTTGGTTGCAGCAACAAAACCAACTGCGGCTGCGTGCCTTTTGAGTCCAGCTTGACCCCTCTCAGAAGGCCCGTGCGCATCTTACGAAAGTGATCAGCTCCGAGTGAGGTGATGTCTATCGAATGCAGGGCTCTCGGCCAAGCGCAGACCGGTGCTGCGCGGAACTTTTGGGCAACTGTGGCTGGGCTCTTAGCCATCCGGCCCCAAAGACCAGCGAGAGTGGCACATCACGATGTGACTGTGAAGTTGGTATGTTGTCTGGAATATTGCAAGTGGCCACCAAGGTTGCGCCCATCGAGTTTAGTGCCCACGCTTGCATCACGAAAGGTTCTCCGGTCATCGCCGGTCAGTGCCCATGCATAGGTTTTGGCATGGTCCAGCTCAAGGTCTAAACACTGGCAGATCTGATTCAAGCCATCGATGCCTGCCAGTACTTGGGACAGTTGTGTTGCCATGACCTCGCAATTGTCCACATAAGAGGTGAAGCAAAGGTCTGGCCACTTCAGGTAAAGCCACCTGTCCACTATCCAATCCACTATTGCCGTGGCCACTACACTCATGCCACAGCCTTCTGGGAAATGTCTGGTAGAGGATAGCCCTGGACTGAGGGCCTGGCGCACACTGAAGTGACGAAAGTTCGTGGTAACGAAACCCAGCCAAGCCCGCAAGATTCCACCGTCCACACCTAAACGCACTGCTGCTCGAAAGACCGGGTCACGGGGCAGGGTATTGAATGCTTTGGTGAGATCCAAGACAGCCCCTGAAACACCTTGCCCATCATAAAGCAAAGATTGCCTCTGACCCCGACAGGGGCGAACCGGCTGAGGAAACCTAAAAGATTGCGCGAGCGCAAGGACGACCAGATCCGATAAGGCAGCGGATATATGGTAATCGGGCAGTAGTCCCCGACACTTTCAGCTCCTTCAAGCTTCTGGAGGCTATGGACTATGCCATGTCGCAACTGGATATAGGCCAGTGACCTGTGTCTTCTGCCCTGGCATAAATTTGCAGGACACGATGGATTCCCGAGGCTGGCATCATGAGGAGGTCCTGCCTACTAATACCATCAACCCCAATGGCACAGGTGGGCTTGGGAGACCTAACAAAGGCACGAAGGGCAAGAGACTTGGAATCAGGTCCTGAACTTGCTTCCAGTGGCTCGACCGGAGCGTGTTATGTTTCCCCACCTAGCCGCCCAGGAACTTTCAAACAACTGGTGTATGTGGGACAGGCTTCCTACGAGTTTGGTTTGCTCTACCCACGCTTGGCCTCCCTCCGTGTGGATGATGGGCAGTGGCCCTGAGGCCGAGAACAAAGGGAGAGCTGGGTCAAAAGCAACTTCAGGCTCAAACGTGACAACCGCTGTGGTTTTCACCGCCAAAGTTCCACCGGCTCTGGTCCCGGTGCTTTGATGTCCCGGAAAATAAGATTGACATTCTTTTGCCTACGATCGGATGCCAGCCTACGCCTGGACTGCATAAGCTCTTTATCAAGAACATCTACGTACTGCGCAAAAGCCGCCATGACTCGGTGTGTAGTCAGCTGGTCTGGCGCAACTAGTGGTAATACAGTTTCCGGGCATTGAGGCAGGATGTTCACAGTCCACCAAGCCCGAAAATCTGGAGCGAATGGTGCCTGCAAGATGGCATTCCACAGTGCAACCCGATGCAACTGAGCTGACACCTTAGCTGAACAAGTGGGCATCCTGGCCAGGTTCTCCAAACCACGGCATTGAGCGATGCACCTACGATAATGCAGAGATTCTACATTAGCTTGGGGCTGACGGTCACCTTGCCTAGCTGGCTTGATGGGGCACAAGTCTGGGACAAAAGCTTGGAGTGAGACCGTACGCGCGCGACCCAATTGATTGCCTTGGGGCGGCGGCTGTGCCTGTGTGCTACAAGCCGATTGCAGCTGCCTTTCAAAATGCTGCCAGACTTCAGCATATCCACATGTTGGGCAGTCATGGAGGCCAGGATATGCGGTCGTCTCCTCCCGCACGTACCTTTGGGGCAACTGAAAAGGGGATCGGCTTAGGCCACTTCAGCACAGGCTTTGGCTTACCCAAACGAGAGAGGCCACACCACAAAGCTGCATGATCAGGGAAAATGTTAGCGTCTACGTGGATCGATTCAAACAAGGACCGCAGCTCCGGTGAAATGAGCAAAAAATCCTTTCGAGTCTTTTGCTTGCACGTCATCGACGGCTGCGCATTCCACCTCACTTGAAACCCCATGCTTATCCACACCTGAGGTTCATGCATGGCATGGAGCTCTTGATTAAAATCTCCTGCGATGAACCTGGGGCCCGAAAGCAAAGCTACCTGACGTGTCAGCTCTTGCAGGAGGGACCCAGTTCGTTGGCGCACCGGCAGGGTGTTGGCCAGACAAGCCTCCCCATAAGCTACTCCCCCAGTGATCCATTGGCCATCCACACAAAACTTGGCAGCCGCAACCCTTGACGTGTCCACCCTGCGACGATCGGTCTGCATGGAAAGCTAGAAAAGAATGCAACTCCGGTTGCTTGCCTCCAATGGAAAGCCGAGAGGTCGACCTGAAGGGCGCCGGAGCTCCACACAACACTCATGGAACCATCGTGGTAGCGGAGCTCCCTCCTGATCTTCAACTCACCAGGTTTGGTGAGCGCGGTTTCCGAAAGGGCATAGATGCCGCGTGGCAAATCAACAAGGTCAGGCACTTTATTCAGCACACCGCTAGGGTTAATGGCTCCCAAAGACCAGGATGGCCCAGGGACTTTGGCTTCACCTATTCGAATGCTCATGAGGCACAACAAACTAAACCAAGCTCCAAGGTGCCTGCCAAGTGAACGGAAACCAAGCCTGCACTGGTGACCCTTTTCAGCAGGGCGGGGCTGTTGCTTCGGCTTGGCTCTTGTGTGGCTAGGACTGTAATGGTTGGGCCCCCGGACAGGCTGTTGACCTTTGCAGGTATCGTACGTGGACGAGTCCTGCGCAGCCACCACGAACCTAAATGCCGACTTGGTGTCATCACGAGAACCCATTGTGGCCACATATGGAGGCATGCAACTCTGAGAAAGCACTTCAGCTCGCTCAGCTGAATTCAAGCATGTGGTCAGCTGGACACGGCATGCAAATGAACTGGTTAGATGGCGAATGTAACCCTTCACCCATACCATACCCACCAAAAGGCAAGAGGTTCAAAGGATTTCTGGCGCAAAAAGGCGAGACCTCGGAACAAATGCCGAGCCTCACTCCACCCGGAAAAATCAACCTCATTGCACTCCCCTGCACGAACCAAAATGGGCCGAGTCATGCGAAACTCTCCAAACTTTGCAACCCCTCCTGGCTGAGACACACAACCAAACAAGATCAAACCATGGATGGCTAGAACAAAGAAACCACTGGCCAGGACCCTTCGCAAGCTTGGAACTTGAGCGTCCCCAAAAAGGCTGAAAATGCAAGAACAAGGCTCATACTGACTACGAAAGACTGATCGAGGGGGCCCAGGCGGTGGTTGGTGCCGCCTTGCCCCATTTGTCATTCTCTTTCATTGTGAGAAGCTTTGAGTCGTTTGGACAGCAAATTGTCGAGTTCTGCCAAATGCGCCGTCAATTTGGTCTCAACAGCAGCTTCCACCCTGTTGGTGAGCGACTTCACCTGGCCCGCCAGCGTTTGGGTCTCAGTGGCTTGTTGAGACTGAGCTTTGGCAATCTGCTGCATTTGAGCTTCGAGCTGTTCAACACGAGACGCCAAACCAGTGTCCATAGAGACGTCATCACTTTTCGACATAACCTTGGACAGAAGGCGAGCCTCCAAGGTGTGCGACAAGGCCTCTAGGTGTGCCTGTGTGACGAACTTGGAACTGTCCTGTGAAGGCTTTGCCCAAGGGTCATTGGCCTGTAGAGGATCAACTTTGGGCGTTCCCAACATGGCTCTTGTTTTCTTAGAAGCCTCAATCAATGGACTGGTTCTTGACGGCAGCAGCTTGGGATCATCTACGCGATTCAGGAGGACATCTCCATGTGACAAGGCAAACACCGTCGCAGGAGGCGGACCTGCCGAGAGTACATGCCACAACAGGCCTGAATTGTCTTGAGACTTTCCGGCCGGATGCATTGGTTTGGCTTGCCATTTCCACTCATCGAGGATCTTCTGCACTGATGATTTGGTGGATCCCAAGAATGAGTGCTCCATCTTGTTTAATCTTCTGGTGAGCAGTCTGAGCGTCCGAGATTGCGAAGCGAAGTCCATAACGATGGCCAACTCTGATGATGGCCGAGGATTCGGTAAGAACAGTCTGCTCCGCTCGGACCTCCTGCAGTGTCTTCCGTGGCAACCAAATGGTATGATACCCCTCATCATTGCGACTGCCGTCCTGAGCTCTGATCTCCACATAGCACCCTTGGGCGCCTGAACATTTGAGCAACGAGTCAACCATTCTGGTCTGAATGCGGAGGCTACAGGCGAACAAGTCTGCATTGTTCGGCGAGGTCCTCTTGCTTCATCAGGCTTGGCGAGGTGATGTTTGGGACAATGACATCCAGGATCTCTACGTGTAGCTAGCTGTGGGAAAATGTCCAGCAGCGCCTTCACAGGGGCGACGATCACTTGCTCCCAAGCAGTGAGACACTCGTCTTTAAACAACGTCATCTTGACAACTGTATTTCCACGGAAGCCCATTGAGCAGGGCCGTCTCTACTGCTGACAGGTGTTGATACTGCGGCTCAACAAAAGAGTCGGACTTGACCAAAGCAGCAAAATTCCTTTGGGTTCCAACCTAGAGTGACCCAAGGCCGAACCTGGCCTCCCCAGGAATGGAGTGCTGTGGGAGCAGTAGAATGGATGTCTAGCACCCATTCGTCTAACTGTCCGTACTGTCTGAATTGGCGAACCTCCTGGGCATCCAGAGCAACAGCCATCAGTTATTACATGTCATCACAGCTTACATCCGCACATATCCAGGTATGCATACCTTCACATTTCCACATCTTCACACCTGCACATATTGAGACATGTGCATTTTTACATCTCCGCATTTCCAGACACGCGCATCTTCACATCAGCATACTTTTACACCCGCGCATATACGAAATGTGTCAAGTGTCAAAATTGCAAGCTCAAATTGTCCACCGCAACCCTTTTGCACGAAAGCAGAAAAAACGTGAAAAGGATATTGCCAAAAGTGTGTAACATCGAAAATGAAGGTGGGGCTAAAGTGTGCAAGTGTCGTTGCAAGTGAAGGTGGCCGTTGCCAAACTGCATTGTTGTCAAAAACGAAGGTGGACGTTGCTAAAGTGTGTAACTGTCGTTGAAACTGAAGGGTGAAGTTGCCACTTTTTCAGGTGCCTGTCCACGCCATGAACGCGACACGCTGAATTTTGTCCATGCGCCACGGGGTCGGTGTGAAACTGAGTGGGTGAAACTGCTTTGCGCTTCCCGTTTGCCACGCGCGCCTTCTGTCCACTCAGAAGGTAGCCCATGGACCATTGGCGTGCTTACAATTTGTAAGGTAGCCACTGGCGCTTTCCACCAGCGAACCTACCCGCGGCGATAGCCAGGGCAGTTGCCGGCGGCCACAGTGCGGGCAAAACTTTCGGGCTTTGCGGAAACCACCGTGCGCAGGCAGACAGCGTGATGAAAGCCATGGCTTGCTTTTACTGGTTGGAAGCGTGCGCCGCACAGCTTGCAACGTGCCTTTTGGCAAGAAAGTGTAAGAAGGTCTACCCAAGAAATTGCCAAAACATGGCTACATTTGCACTTGCCAAAACTTGGCTACACAACAAACACATGTGACATCATGTGACCATTGAGAACTTTGGCAGTTATCACAAGTCAAAACATGTTTTCAATCTAAAACATATTACTGCTAGCAACGCTAACCCCAACAGCGCTAACAATGCTAACAGAATGCTAACTGTTAGCAACAAGTATTTAAAACTACCTTTGTTAACCTTTGTGACAACTATGTCACAACCATGCTAGCGCCCTGTTTTGACTTTGCGCTACCTATCATAGCCTGTCGTAAAAAACGGGCAATGTAAGAAGCGATACACGCTGGCGTAAACGCGGCGTGCGCTGGGGAGCGGGATGATTGGCGCTCGCAAGGCTTGGTGTTAGATTGTTTTCTCTTTCTGTGGTGCACTGTGAGGCGAAATACGTCTGTGATGTCACTGTGCCATGGCCTCGGAAAGTGCGTTTGTGTGAGTCCGTGCCACTAGGGGATGGGAAACATGGCGGCGTAAACGCGGCGTGTCACTGGGGGCGGGATGACAGGCGGTGCCCACGGCTTGGTATTACATGGTTATATATATCTAGTCTGCGGCGCATCGCGTGGCAAAATTGTGCCTGTGAGTTCGCTGCGCGACGCGGTTCTCCAGTGGGGAAAGGCAACATGCTGTTGCTGGGGAGCGGGATTATGGGCGGTGCCCGTGTGAGTCGTGGTGTTACATCGCTGTAACTGCGCCTACTCTGTGGCACGCCGTGTGGCTGTGATGTCGCTGTAGCAATTTGGCGGAATGCGCGCAATTTACTGTAATTGTAAATCTGCGCGTGCACGTGACCTACATTTGATTACTACATGTGAACGCGAAACTGGGCGCAAACCTGTCACCCATACACATTTACTGTAAAACATCATCCCCAGGGCAGGAGTGCGAAGCTGATGTCAACATTCTACATTGCACGGACCCACAAGCAGGACGTGGAACCTCACCCATGAACATCAACTCTAACACCTCACCCATGAACATCAACTCACCCATGACGTAGGGCAGAGCCTTAAGACAGACACCTTCTTTTGAAATCCACATATTTTGTTTTAAATACGCACGTGCACCTGCATACTTATGTACCAACTCGAGTCCACACATTGTATATATACTGTAAATTTGCACATGAACCAGCAGATATCGACTGTCCGACCTCTTCGGGAACATCGCTTGCATCCATACAATTGGGTGCGAAACTCGATATATAAACCTGTATACACATCGACTGTAAAATATCCTCGTGGCAAGACTTGCGTTCACACAATTGTTTGTGACACTGCGCATGTTTTTCATAAAATTTATATATAACAACTGTAAGACCTCCTCAGGGCAGAACCTACATCCATACATGTTGCTTTCAAAACGCACATAAACCATCATAAATTCGCATAAACATCACCTTGTCAATCTCTGTCTGCAAAGCCGCGCCTTAACCTGTATGAGCATCCACTGCATCCAGACCATTGGTTCTACACCTGGCCACGCGCCTCTAATACCTTTGCGCAACTGCGCCTAAGCCAGCTCACAGCATTCCGTCTCTGAAGTCTCCAATGCTATCTCACCTTCCTTTCAGTTTCCTTCCTCCTTGCTCACCCTCTCTTTCACTTTCTCTCCCACCATTTCATTACTCTGTTCACTTTACTGTTTCATCGCGATGCAAGCATACCTCACACCAGCATTACGCTACACCTTAACACTCTTGGGGCCATCATCCAGCTTTGAGTTTGCGCGCGCGACGTGCGTATGACAACCAGCGAAATAAGCGATGACCAGTTTAGTAAAAGCAGACGTAAATTGTTACGAATCTTAAACCTGGCCGCAGTTTTTGAATATGTTCAGCTGCGTTGAAAGTGCGGCTAGGGCCTGAAAAGGCGGTTTCAAACCTTCAAGGGGGACAATCTTGCTGAGGTCACTACAAGATGGTTTGTCATATGGTCACTGTTTGGTCCTTGAATCCGCAACGTCGTAGTAGGTCCATGAGGGCCGGGCCTCGTCGTGCCTTGTTGCAGGATACTCCAAATGCGCATTTGGATGGATGAGCGACTACAAGGGCTATTGGTACCATGAGACTAGCACCGGCTGTGGCACAGGCACGGGGTACCGCGATGGAAGCAGCCACAACTCAGTGGGAGCCTATTGCTGCCACAGCGCCCCACAAGTTCCACGCGAGTACGTGAGGAGCCTATTTGCAAGGTGGTTGGAGTCTCGGGAGTTTGGATTCTGCGCGGTAAGTTAGGGCACTTGGCTTGTAGACATGTCATTTGGTCCAACTGCTTCAACCATGTTGCCTGGCCAACGAATGAGCTTGCGCACCAACCAGCCGTCAAGAACATGTACTGGATAGTTGCGATTTCAGAGTGCCCATACGTGCGTAATCTCTCTATGTTGACATCCTGATGTTTTTCTACGTGGATAGCTGAAAGTACTCGTTTTGACTTCCTTGACAGTTGCCTCAAGCTGGCGCAAAGCAACTGTGCACCGCATTGCATTGAGTATTTGATCTTGTGAGGCCAGCGGACCATTCACTCAACAGGTTCACATGACTTTGTTCATGTCCGTTCGGGCCAGTCGCGCCCTTGCTTTGTGGAATGATAACATGTATGTTTAATTGACAATGTAGGTAGTGCAGGCTGTGGGTTTCGTACGCCATTTTGGTTCTAGGGATCTTCGCACCACATGCGGGGATCAGCTCAAAGGTGGTGATCTGGAGTGGGAACCAGGGCTCAGAGGGCCACACTTTGCTCCTTCTGAGCTTCCTGGCAACCACCTGGGTTACCACCTTAGTGGTTGGGGCTGGGCTGGTTGTGCTGCCGTTTGAGTGGCCACCAGTCTTCAGCATATCCAACCAGGGAGCCCTCCTTGCGTGGGAGCGGTTGGCCATCAGTGCCATCCGGTTTACGAACCACCGCCGGGCCGTGAGGAATGGACCCAACCGAGGCCGAGCTCCAGGCGATAGGGAGCCTGGCTGATGCACGTGGTTGGGCCGGAGTTGATGGCCCCTTGGCGGACGTCTTGATGACCGCGCTGGGTGGCCCATTGAGAGTCAGAGAGATTGCTCTCATACCACGCCCCACCTGGGACGGTGTCATCGAGCACCTTGACCTGCAAGAGGCGGGAGACCCAGCACCACCTCGGAGAGCACTTACGCCCGTTGAGGTAGCTCGCACTGAGTCCCTCCGTCGGGTATGCTGCTTACGAGCCGGGCGAGCTGTGGACCAACCAGGCGATCGAGCACTACCTGCACCACCTGCGGTTTTGCCGGCTCCGTTCCCCCCTGCTGGAGGAGGAGCTGGTGCACTTGTGGGTCCAGCTGCGCAGGCCCGCAAGCTGAAGCTCAGTGCAGTGTTAGATCCAACCCTGGACGCAGAGATTCAACCCTTGACGGACGTGGAGGTTACCCAGATGTATGAACGCTACCGGACAAGATACGGTGACTTCCCGTCCACTGATGCAGATGTCAGCCGGGATCAACTAGCAGCCCTCAGCCAGGTGATAGCATCTGGAGTGGTTCCCTATGCAGACTTCTCCATCTTTGGTCCGCATGGACAGCGCCTGCTTCGAAGGCAAACCTTCCAAAGCTACACTTTGAATGTCTCCAATGGAGAGTGGTCGAGGAAGGAACAGCCCGGGCCCTCGTCCTTCTATGGGTGGTACAGGGCGTGGCGCTGCTTTCGAACAGGCATGCTGCTCCTGGAAGCGGCGGAGGCAGAACGGCTCGACTCATATGCAGAGCACATAAGGGGCTTTGTCACCCAGTTCGGGGAGGAGACCTGGAGCTTCATATGCCAAGCTGATGGAAGAATGCGCTCAGAACAGTTGGAGCGTTTGCGTAGGGAGCTTCATGCCGCCCCGGCCTATGGGTATGTGCCAGCGGCCCCTTGGAGCGCATGCTACGCTGCAGCGGTCAAGGACACCGAGTTCTGGAACAAAGAGCTGAGCACTCCTGCAACATTATTCCTGGCACGAAACAAGCGCCCACCGGGGGGGGGATGACCCCGATTCATCAGCGGCAGAGCCAAAACGCCGCAGAGGCCGCAACAACAGAACCTACCGTGGAGAAGACCATTCCCAGAAAGGTACTGACGGAACCTACTCCCACAACCGAAAGGGACTTGAGATATGCCGCCTTTACAATCAAGGCAAGTGTGGCACAAAAGCTGCCCAGGGAAAGTGCAAAGCGAGCCGCAGCCATCAGTGCAATCAATGTCTTGGCCCCCATCAAGCATTGGCATGCACCGGAGGCTCCAAGAAGGATTGAAAGAAGAGTGGGACTGGTCCAGGTGGGCAGGCCAGTTCCGGCAAAGCTGAAGAAGACCCACCACCTGGCAAGAGGGTAGCGCCCAATTCACCCGAGGGTCCGCCCACAAAGAAGCAGAGAGAGACAGCGCAGAAAGCTTGGAGAGACGCTCAGGCGTCGTCGGTGGCAAGTGGCACCAAGGAGACCAAGGACAAGAAAAGTGAGCCCACTGGAGAGGGATCCTTGAGCGCCACTGCCTCTCAATCATCCTCCCAAACCGTGACCCAGACGGTGCCTGCCACCAAGGAGAGCGTAGGGACGGGTTTGAGGCCGGTGGTGACGCTCAAGAACCCTCCAAGGAACTATGGGTGGTGGTGCAGCACAATCGGGCCGACTCAGAAGAAACCAAAGTTGCTCATCATGTTCTCTGGCCGATCCAGGGAGGGTGACTTGGCCCATCAGATGGCCAGGCTGGGTTGGCTTGTGTGCTGCTTGGACACCATCGCGCCCAAACCCACCGACCTGGTGCGTGACACTGAGTGGGATCAGATCAAGGCAGACCTGGATGCGGAGTACTTTGATGCCGGGTGGATTGCAACACCCTGCGGCACCTTCTCGCCGTTGCGAGAAAAACCACCAGGTCCGCGGGTCATCAGAACTGTGGAGCACATCACCGGCATCCCGGATGCCACCAAGGCCGAGGCAAGCCAACTCCGGGACTCCAACATCCTCGTGCACCGCTCATACAAAGTGGCGGATCGATTGCACCAACAAGGCCGACCCTGGGGACTAGAGAACCCAGAGCACCCCGAAGGCAAAGCTTCCTTGTGGATGATGCCACGCATCAAGGAACTGATGAAGTGGCCGGGGGTCGACACCACTCGCTTTGACCAATGTGTCACAGGACTGGATACGACCAAGCCAACCATGCTTTGCACCGAGAAGATGGACCTCAAGTCGCTGCAGAACAAGAGGTGCAACCACACCAAGCAAACGATCACTAGAGAGGACGGGTCGACTTATGAGGCCGCCCACATGTCCACGGTGCAGAGATGGGAGACAGTGGATGGCAAGAGGCAAAGGGCATCCAAGGCACAAGGTGAGTACACTGCATTGCTCAGCAAGATCATCGCTGTCGCCATACACAAGAATGCCTCAGCCAGCTGGAAGAAAGAGGAGCTCTCCACGGAGCCCCTCTGAAACACACCGGCTACCACTGACACCACCTCCCTTATCAAGCCAACCGATAGGGAGGTACAGAACAGGTTGGCCCTCGGAGGCATGAGGAATCCACACCTGGCCATTCCAAGAATACCGGTTCTCATCGTACCGGGCAGCAGAGTCAGAGCCATCCTGGAGGAGGCACAGCTTGCACAACCAGAGCTCACCGCCATTGGGCGAGACATACTCACGGGTCGGGAGGCCATACCGTTCCCGGCGGAGGTCATAGCTCATTTGAGAGCACGGGTTGTTCAAGCGCTGGGAGGCGCACAGAAGCAGAGAGACCGGACTGCCAGGGCCACCACGCCCATTGAGGCGAATGCGATTGAAGCCTGGGGAAATGCCACGGGTGACCCGGACTCGGCCACGCTGTGCGAGTGGTTGGATCACGGGGCACCGCTTGGTTACCACCAAAGCATCCCCACCAATGGCATTTTCCCAACAGTGCCATCAGAGACAAAAGGACCAGAAGGCCAACAAGACCTATACCGCTCCCTGGAAGGGTGGCAGAACTACAAGTCCGCCCAGGAAGAAGCTGACGATTTGGACGCCCTGATTTCCGACTACGTGGGGCGGGGGTTCTGCCACCTATCCGGTAGCATGGAGGAAGCCACCGCTGAACTGGGCCGGCCGCCCGTGCTGAACAAACTGGGGGTGGTCGTCAAGTACAACGCTTACGGAACGAAGAAGAGCAGGATCATATGGGACCTACGTGAGTCACGGGCTAACCAGCTGTGCAACCAGGGAGAGCGGATTCTCCTACCACGGCTGCTGGATGTGGCCCAGCAGGCCATCCGGGTGTACAGATCGGGAAGCACACCATGGCTGGCAGCAGTAGACATCAGAGACGCCTTCATGAATATACCTTCAGGTCAAGACAAACGCTACACAGTGGCGGCGCGGCCCAAGCCAGGCCACGAGGACCAGATGGAGCTCATCATCTTCGACACCCTAGTGTTTGGAGCCGGTAGCTCACCAACGCTGTGGGGACGAAACGCAGCGTGGCTTGGGCGATCATGCGCATCCATCATGCCGAGGGCCAGCACCCAAATTTATGTGGGTGATCCGGCCTTTGTACTGGCAGGGACCTTGGAAACCGCATCCGAGGATCTCACCACACTCCTCCTTTGGTTTAATGTGGTGGGATTCCCGGTCAAGTTGGCCAAGGCAGAAGGGGGCAAGACAATCAGCTGGGTTGGAGCAAAGCTGGACCTCAACGACAAGGACCAGACCGTGAGGGTCACCATCCCACAAGACAAGGTCGCCAAAATACAGGAGACAACTCAACTGTTCCTGAAGCGGCCGGTTGTGGGCCAGAAGCAGTTGAGGTCCTACGCCGGAATGCTCTCTTTTGTAGCAGGGCTGATCCCACACCTACGCCCTTTCTTGGCTTCTCTATGGGCTGTCCTCGGGGAGGACACTTCAGCGAATGACGGAGCGGGTAAAGTCTCGCATTCCGGAAAGCTGGTCCATACCCGGAGGATCAAACCCGCTTCAAGGTGGATAGAGGCACTGGTGAAGGGTCGCCCAGCTCCACTGTGCAGGACTCTCGAAAGTCTAGTTCCCGAGGTGCTGGCAGAGATCGTGACCGATGCCAGCCCTTGGGGAATTGGGGGCACTCTGAAGGTTGGTGGACACACGCTGCATTATTTTTCAAGTTCCATACCGGAGGGCGCGCTGAGCAGGTTTAAAGCTCAGACAGGCCTCTCAAAGTA